AAATCTCTGTCCACGCAATTTATTCTTTATTTTAGGGAAAGTATAGAAATCATTAGGGCTTAGGTCGGGGCTGTACGGCGGATGGTCTAATAATTCTATGTTTTCTTGCTCTAAAAACTCTTTTGTTCTGTGCGCGGTGTGAGAACTCGCATTGTCGTGATGGAGGATGATGCGGCGGTTGCAGTTCTCTTTACGGAGTTCAGAAACGACCTGTGGCAAACAAATGCTAGCATACCATTCTGCATTAACCGTTCTTTGTCCCTCAAGAGGAATAGTCGTAACATGGCCGGTTTTGGAGACAAACGTGGCCACCATTTTTTTTGCAACACTCCGTGAACGAACAATTTTTGTTGGCTTTAACTCATTTTCGAACACCCAAACTCGTGACTGGTTTTTTGTTTCGGGTTCGTACGCGTATATCCAGGATTCGTCACCTGATACAATGTTGTATACAGCATTTGAGGATCCTGCGTGGAATCTTTCGAGAGTTCTGACGCACCAAGTAACGCGAGCCGCTTTTTGCTCTTCACAGAGCGAATGCGGTATCCATCGGGAAAACAACTTTTTTACACCTAATTGTTCATGCAAGATTATTTGTATTTGACTCATGCCAATGTCTAAAGTTGCCTGAATTTCGCGGTATGTCACATGTCGATCTTCCTCAATCAGCTTACGCACAGCATCAACGTTTTCTTGGGTGACTGCAGTTTTTGGACGACCTTGACGGGGATCATCACTGAGCTTGACACGTCCACGTTGAAACTCAGCAAACCAGCGATAAATTGTGGTTTTGGATGGGGCTTCATCACCAAATGCAGAAATCATCCGGTCAACACACTGTTTTTGTGTTAAACCACTTCGAAAGTCATAATAAATTATCGCTCTTGAATTTTCTCGAGTCAATTCCATTTTCTCAACGACTAAACAAGTTTGACAAAACCTCGTGACAAGACCGAGAATCTTTTTTTAAATAAATAAATGGTATTCGATTTTTAAAACCAAGGAGTTTTCAATTAAAAAGATTTTAATATGACAGGAACAGTGGAAATATTCCATTCCCGATACTTTTAGTGCAGCCTAGTATATATTTTTTTAAATATTTTATTTTTTATTTTTTACAATTATTATTTTAATACTTTATTTCAGTTAGAAAAAAAAGTATAACATTATAATTCCTCGGAAAAATCTGTCTCACTGTACCCCCAGCCTTGAAACGTATCCCTCATTTGCATACATTGCGGGTTCAACATTGAATTTTTAACATTTACAAAACGCCCGGGACGTGTTCTCATTTTGAATTTAAAATTTGTCGTGTGTTATTTAAGATTTTTGATTGAGGGCGCAACGTGAATCCGCCTGGTTATTCTTTGTCTATTTCTGCCGCGAAGCAGTCCTTAACGATAGATTTATCGGCATATTAACCTGTTGTCTTTAGGTAAAGTTCTTTTTTTTTATTGCTTAGATGGGTGGACGAGCTCACAGCCCACCTGATGTTAAGTGGTTACTGGAGCCCATAGACATCTACAACGAAAATGCGCCACCCACCTTGAGATATGAGTTCTAAGGTCTCAGTAAAGTTACAACGGCTGCGCCACCCTTCAAACCGAAACGCATTACTGCTTCACGGCAGAAATTGGTAGGGTGGTGGTACTACCTGCCAGTATTTATGAAGTTTATAGAAAATTTTAGTCCATATAGCTCTAGTCCCAGAGACAATAGCCCCACTAACTGCATTTTTTTTTCTATTGCTTAGATAGGAGGATGAGCTCACAGCCCACCTGGTGTTAAGTGGTTACTGAAGCCCATAGATATCTAAAACGCAAATGCCGCCACCCACCCCGAGACGTGAGTTCTAAGGTCTCAGTATAGTTACAACGGCTGCGCCACCCTTCAAACCGAAACGCATTACTGCTTCACGGCAGAAATAGGCAGGATGGTGGTACCTATCCGTGAGGACTCACGCGAGGTCCTACCACCAGTTAAGTTGAATTTAAAAAAAAACACGAAAATAAATCTATTAATATATTTTATATGTAACCAAACATTCTAATAACAGATAAGCTTGTAGTAATATAATGGGTGGGCGCAGGGCGGGGGTCGCGGGGGGCTCGCGGTACCCAGAGGGGGGTCCAGATCGTAATCAATTTAATTGGAAATTTCCTTTGATTAAACGCAAAGACGTTGTTGGAAGTTGACCCAGTGATACACGGACGGTCAGCAGATCATTAACAACGAATTTTATATGTATTTAAATTAATTCGTGAAGCAAAAATTTTGTACCCCTTTTTACGAAAATTGCGCGGACGGAGGAGTATGAAATTTCCCACACTTATAGAGAATACAGAGAAGGAGTGCAGAATGCTAATATTTTTTTTTTAAATTGTGCATTAATAATACATTAAATCAATAAAAAAACATTACACACATTACCATGTATTTGACACACACACATATACACTCTTTGTTTATTGTCAAACTTATGTTATTGTTTAAATTATGTGGTCAAATTGAGAATAGATTAATATTGTTTTTTTTTTAATATTATTTGTCTATAGTCATAAGTCTTCGCGAAATCTGTGATTATCGAAGTATAATGAATAGTATTTGACAATAGAATCATATTAATGTTCAGACTTATAATTTCAATTAATTATAGTCGAATTTCGACTAATGCGGGACTACTAATATGTATTAATTGTCAATAGTTTTACTGGAGACTTTTAAAAGTATTTATATATCAAAACTCTCAGATGAAATCATGACCTAGAGGGACTTCATGAGCTTGATAAACAGAATGCGACTGCCCAGATTGAGACATGAGGTCGAAGCCTCAAGCGTATCATATAAGGGCGAACCTCAAGCCGGAACTCAAGAGTGCTTCGTGGTAAAACCAGCAAAACCGCGTAGCGTCTCAAGCGCATTCACATCGCATGATCTACAGAGTCTTCACAAGCTTGATAAGCAGAATGCGACTACCCAGATTGAGACATGTGGTCAAAGTCTCAAACATATTATATAAGGGCTGACCTCAAGCCGGAACTCAAGAGTGCTTCGTGGTAAAAACAGGAAAACCACGTAGCGTCTCAAGCGCATTCACATCGCATGACCTAGAGAGACTTCACGAGCTTGAAAAACAGAATGCAACGGCCCAGATTGAGACATGAGGTCAAAGTCTCAAGTGTATTATATAAGGGCTGACCTCAAGCCGGAACTCAAGAGTGCTTCGTGGCAAAACCAGCAAAACCGCGTAACGTCCCGAGCGCATTCACATCGCATGACCTAGAGAGACTTCATGAGCTTGATAAACAGAATGCGACTGCCCAGATTGAGACATGAGGTCGAAGCCTCAAGCATATTATATAAGGGCTGACCTCAAGCCGGAATTCGAGAACGCTTCGTGGTAAAAACAGCAAAACCGCGTAGCGTCCCAAGCGCATTCACATCGTGATCGATGCCAGTATTTTCATACGTAATGGGATAGGCTTGGTTATCTGGCCTGATCGCCTGACAATGCGACCTTACTACAATAGCTAGTACAATTAAAACTTTGACTTCACATGTCAGCAGCGTGTTTGACTTTAAAAAAAGGTTATATTCCATTTGGGTTCGATATTATCAAATTGGAATTAGGTTACGAATGTTGGGAGTACCCTAAATTTCCTATAGCCTATAGTTTACATAGCTGTAATAATCTTCTTGTAGAGAAATTTAGGTTTGTGAATGAGATCACGGATCGTCTGGTATTCAGTGTATTCTGTTTACGAGACCATAAGCATCACAAGAGACGGGGGTCGAAGCATAACTTTTTAATTTTTTATATCACACGGCACATCCGTAGTTAATTGGTCACTGTTGCCATCCCCATTGATATCAACCATATCAATACTGCTACTGCTGAGATTTGAGTTCTGAGTCTCAGTTTTTACAGCACCACGGCTGCCCGACTCTTCAAACCAAAACGCATTACTGCTTCACGGCAGAAATAGGCAGGGTGGTGGTGGCGAATAGTAATTTTGCGGATTAGATTTTTTTTTATACGACGTTATTCTTTGCGATATGTGGTAGTCAACAGTGAGCATTTGTTAAGTAAGTATTTCATTAGAGAAATCGGCACCTGATTCGAGCATCGACACAGTCGCATCGCTGGATACGAATGCATCGGGCGTTTCTTTATTTATTGCCCTTGTATGCAGACGAGCATACGGCTCACTTAATGGTGAGTGGTTACCGTCGCGCATGGACTTTAGTAATGCCAGGGGCAGAGCCAAGCCGCTGCCTACCGCTTAATACCACAAGCCTCGTTTGACGAAGAACATGTCATAGCGCTCGGGAAACACCGTGGAGGGGAGCTTATTCCATAGCCGGATGGTACGTGGCAAAAAAAGATTTTTGGAAACGCACTCTGGACGAACGCACTGGCTCCAGGTAGTACGGATGAACTCTACTCCGGTGGCGGGCGGTGCGATGGTAAAAACGAGATGATGGTATCATCTCGAACAATTTCTCAGAGCACTTATCCTTTAGGCCACGACGAGGCCCCGACGACTTCAAATTTCAAATTTGATTGTCTAATTTGTACCTCGTGATTCCTGGAACCTTTGAACACGCAACGCGATATGAGCTAATAAAATTGTCAAACTACATACCAGTTTTCGTTCGTCGGCGAAAAAAGAAAAAAAAATATCATAAAACTTTAACCATTACTGTTCTGCTGTCGCTACACTATGAACGTATATCTTAAAATTTCGAACCCAGTGAGTCTTGTGGCGGTTGAGATTACACCAATAAAATTTATGTACGGTCCCGTTCAAACGATCGTCGGACTTGCTCCGCGATTCGGAAAACATTTATATGTACATTGTACCTTAAAGCAAATTATTATTGTTACTTGTACCCGAAATTACAGTGATCCACTGGGCTAGAAATGGAGTTTTTTTTTTTTTATGTAACTTCAGTCAATTTATAGAGAAGAATATATGTCATTTATATAGTTTGTGTTAGAATTGTATAAGTTCCTAAACGCATCTTTATGTCAATATCAACTGACAGCTGTCACTCTTGTTATATATGTCAACGTCGTTTGTGTGTGCGCCCCTTTTCGTTCTTGCGTCGTCAATGAGTACGGACACAAAATATTGTATCGCCGATAGAATAAATACTATCCATAAAAATCTGCGTCTTTATTATAAGAAAACCAGACGATCACTCCAACAGTTTGAAAATAAATATAACTAGTGGTCCCGCAGTAGTCGAAATTCGATTATAATTAATTGAAATTATAAGTTTGAACATTATTATAGTTCTATATATTTCTTTAGTCACAGATTTCGCCAAGACTACACTATAGCCAAATAATATTAAAAATAAACAATATTAGCCTATTCTCAAATTGACCACAGATTTTAAGCAGTAGCAAAAGTTTGATAATAAACAAAGAGTATATAGGTATATTATGTGTGTTGCAAATACATGGTAGTATGTGTATTTGTGTAATGTTTTTTTATTGATTTAATGTATTAGTAATGCATAATTTAAAAAAAAAATTAGTTTCTGCACTCCTTCTCTATATTCTTTATAAGTGTGGGAAATTTCATACTCCTCCGTCCGCGTAACTTTCGTAAAAAGGGGTACAAAGTTTTTGCTTCACGTATTAATATATAGATAACACTCTTTAACGAATCGATTTTATCTTCTTTTTTTTATTGCATAGATGGGTGGAAAATGGAAGCTGAGGTGACAAAGAGCCACGAAGGGCTTTCAAGGACACGACCTTCAGTATTCGACTAAGAAGAGAGATGGGTGGACGAGCTCACAGCCCACCTGATGTTAAGTGGTTACTAACGTACAACGTAAATGGGCCACCCAGCTTGAAATATAAGTTCTAAGGTCTCAGTATAGTCAGTATAGTTTACCCTGTTAATATCCTGAATATTAGAGCGATATATAATTATATATTTATCGGTAGCAGACGGGTTGGCTCTGACATGATCTGATGTCCGTAGGCGACGGTAACCATCAAGCGGGCGGTATCCTCGTCTGCCTACAAGGGCAATAAAAAATAAAATAGTAGCCCATAGATATCAACAACTTGAATTTCGCCACTCAACTTGAGACACCGTTGAGGACTCCCAGCATTTTCGAAGCTGTCTCAGTTTTTTTTAACTTCCACTCCGATAGTCCGATAGTAAATACTTCGATATTGCGTAGACAAACAAAATACACATTATATTGTACATATCATTTCCCTGACTGAATTCTTCATAGATATTGTCTTAAATCTATCGAGGGAAAGAGACAGCTGTTTAACAAAAACGAGATAGATTTATATTAATCTTAATTATACATAAGAAATTTTACATAGGTATTTTTTTTATTCCCATCAAAAGAAAGACGTACATTAGAAACAAGATATATACTTTTTGGTAGAGAAAGAAAACAAAAATAATTATAGCTTTAAAATAGCCAGCAGAAAGGCGAGCCCAACTCATTGAAATTTAACAATAACACACATATAACAAAATGTTCCATAATAAATAAGATAACATACATTTAAAACATAAATTTACATAAATACAACCGAAAAGATGTTTTTATTCAATTTGACACCCAATTACTATGACAGAAAATGTTCTTCGGTTTGTTTCTTAAATACTGGGGATTGTTGGATTGGCAAAGATATTCAATTCTGGCAACTCGGTATTTGGCGGGAAAGTGACAAAGTCATATAATATATATTAGGTTTTTTTGGTGATTTAGTGATTTTTTAAGATTAAATTTATAATAACGGTGGGTTGTTGAGTATTTAGCATCCGTAAAAGGGGATAAATATGTGTCCAATTAAGTTTTTCAAAAGCTGCCCAATGTTTAACTTGAGCATTATTTGATTTTATCTCATTTCAACACATTTTTTATTCCATTTGTTTTCATTAAATTTCATCCAAAATGATTACTTTTCGCTCCATTTCAAATAGCAAATAGAGAAATCGGTATAGGTATAGATAAAAACACTATCTGAACTCACAGTGGCAACAATGGCATGTCAAAAAACGAATTGCCATACTGAAAAAATTTATAAGAAAATTGTTTTCAAGATGCCTGTCTAGTATCTTCATTTTTTTTAATGCTAAGATGTGTGGACGAGCTCATAGCCCACCTGGTGTTAAGTGGTTACTGGAGTCCATAAACATCTACAACGTAAATGTGCCACCCACCTTGAGATATAAGTTCTAGGGTCTCAGTATAGTTACAACGGCTGCCCCGCCCTTCAAGCCGAAACGCATTACTGCTTCACGACAGAAATAGGCAGGGTGGTGGTACCTACCTGCACGAACTCACAAGAGGTCCTACCACCAGTAACGATCGATCTAACGATAATTATATCGTTATCATAAATATAAGTCTAACACAAAAATAAGACGATGAAAGTATTCGATAATAATTTAAATCATACTGGTACTGGTAATGTTACAAGAACGGATAGATTTCCCTAACTGGTCAAGGTTTTCCAACAGAATTTATATCTTACAAGCTTCACTAACAGTCTTCTGTGACAGTCTACAAGGCAACACGCGAGACAGCAGCCCACAATGTTCTAGAGTGTGATGGAATTACAGAATACCGGACAATATAACTTGCCACTCTGAGGTCGCTGACAGCATCAGAGGGCGAGTCGACTCTCTGGAGGAACATGGGTAGTAAGAGTGAAATTCCCACCAAGAGAGAAAAAGCGTATGGTTTTTGAGTTTGCGGAAACCAGTCTACAATCAAGTTCTGCATTTTGTAACCACAAGGTTCAACACCACAATCTTGACTAATTCTGCCGCACATTTCAGAAGTACTACACTTACTAGTTGAATGAATACTGTTGAATGATTTTTTAAGGATAATTTAATTTCTTTTAAAAGCACATCTTTTGTTCCACGATCAATCGACAACAGAGTAAAGAAAGCACGAAATCGGCTTCCCTAATTAAAGCTTCAAGTCAGAATTTGGTAATTAAAGCTTATGTGTTATTCGAATGGAAACTCCGAATCAAAGCTAAACCAATTTGAGCACAAGAATTCAAATAAACCAGAAATCACATCAGAATTTATCGTCGACGTAACGATAAGACTTAGACACACACACATCGCCGCACACACGCACACACACACGAGACATAAAACTTCGTTCGAGGGAAGAAGACCCAAGACGATATTAATATTAAGATTACGACCGAGGCTGAACTGAGAGGCGAATGATTTTGAACTTTATGGGCTAGAAGATACGGGGGGCTGTGACTTGCGCAGGTGCAGCGAGTAGTGGTGTGAGTATACTTGAGGGGCGAATGTAAAAACCACCCCCGCGATCGACTTATATGCTGTATCAAGACGCGAGTCGTCGTAGCGAATAAGGCGGTAATAATTCTTTCTATCTTTGTTTTGAATTAAGAATAATCGAATAAGATTTTCTGGTTCTAAACGATTTTAATTGTTCACTGAAAATATAAATATATAAATAAATCAATATTTACTAACAATCACGCCACGTTAACTGGTCCCGTGATAAGTTCGTAAAGAACTTGTGTTACAGGTACCAGATAACGGAAATAAATGTAAGATTTTTTATTATACACATACATATATTTAATATACATCCATAACCCTGGAAAATACATTTATATTTACCATACAAATATCTTCCCTTGGCGGGATTCGAACCCGCGACCCCCTTGTGTAGTGGCCATGTTACTTACCACTACACCAGACAGCCGTTATATGGTAGCAGGACAGCTGGACAGCAGTATGGTTTTAGTGTAGCGATATTATTGTGTAATCTCTATTGTGTTCTAGTTAAGGCAGATAATTGCACGGAATTGCAAGTTTATGTGCGCTTATCGTCATTCGTGGATGTCACTAATATCAGGGTACAGCCAAACAATACGATAGCGTTTGTATGACCCAATGTGCTGAAAAACATGTGATAGCGTTTAAAACTACGGAGAAGAGGGAATTTTAAATATGATCTCCAGAAACATACTGTGAAGGGAACGCAGTATGTCTATGTAGTTAGTGAGATCTGACCTCGTGACGAATGGTGCTGTGGAAGAAAAGGAAGACTGACTCATAATTATCAATACCTCAGGATAAGACATACTCCGTGATAATTACAATACAGATTGCAAACAGAATTAGTCTGTGGAGCAGTTGCCAAGGTTTTAAAGTATTTTTTTTTTGCCTGTGTAGGCAGACGAGCGTACGTCCCGCCTGATGGTAAGTGGTTACCGTCGCCCATAGACTTCAGCAATGCCAGGAGCAGAGCCAAGCCGCTGCCTACTGCTAAAAGCCGCTGCCTACTGCTCCAAGCCGTTGCCTACTGCTCTAAGCCGCTGCCTATTGCTCTAAACTGAGCAGACAATCAAAAAATTACAAGGCTTCTAGAAAGCCTATAGCATAGACGTCCTCCGTAGGACAAAACCCTATCCCCAAAGCTTCAAGGATCCTGCACTTCCTGTATTAACAGACTGTTACCACCACTCGAGGACTTTTTGGCTCCGACAGCCATCTACGAGCTACTATTATTTTTTTGTTGAATACTGCTAATGTTACTGAATGAATACTGCCGACTAGAGACACGAAATCCAAGTATCAGGTCAAGGTTGTTCCTTCGAACTTTAAGGCGTGACAGAAACACTCGGATATTGAAGTCCGCGTGTAGACCCTAAAGCTGAACACACGAAAATCGATATTGGATACCACGTTGGACCCTGTTAAGAAGACCATATTCGCGTGAACCCCATTGTCCACGGGGAGCCAACAACACCGCGGTCCCCCCTTAAATTTTACCTCACCCATACCGCGCGCGTTCTAACACTACCACTTATTTATATATATCTCGTCTTTATGTACGGAGACATTAGTTATGCTGTTACCGTTTATAACGTATATCGTCGTATAGGGCGTGTTTTGTTTTAACAGAACTTGAGCGTCTATTGTATTGAGCGGATAATTACAAAGAAACATTTGATGGGGTATCGAAATGACTTAATTGAGCTTGAGAGGTTTAAATTCTGAGTATAGCGTAATGGATGACCAATATTTGATAAATAATAATAGTTTAAGAAAACAAAAAAAAAATACGCTTTTATAGAAAATCCAACTAAAAAATAAAAATAAAATATATTAATTTGAATTCGTCGTGGCTTAACGGATAAGACGTCCGGTGCATTCGTGTTGAGCGATGCATCGGTGTTCGAATCTCAGGCGGGTATCAATTTTTCTAATGAAATACGTACTCAGCAAATGTTCACGATTGACTTCCACTGTGAAGGAATAGCATCATGTAATAAAAATGAAACCCGCAAAATTATAATTTGCGTAATTACTGGTGGAAGGACCTCTTGTGAGTCCGCGCGGGTGAGTACCACCACCCTGCCTATTTCTGCCGTGAAGCAGTAATGCGTTTCGGTTTGAAGGGTGGGGCAGCCGCTGTAACTAAACTTGAGACCTTAGAACTTATATCTCAGGGTGGGTGGCGCATTTGCATTGTGGATGTCTATGGGCTCCAGTAACCACTTAACACCAGGTGGGCTGTGAACTCGTCCACTCATCTAAGCAATAAAAAAATATAAAAAAATCAAAATAGTGTAAGAAAAATTATTTTATTGTAAAAAAAGCGTGATTTTCTATAAAAGCGTAATTTTAATTTGGTTTTTTAAACTATTGGCCGATGGCCGATGGATGACCTTTTGCCTAATATCATAATTGGGTAATCATAGTTGGGGTAACAACGATAAAAACAGAGATTGGATCGAAACTTAAGTTACTTACGTTATGCTTGAATTTATTTAACGTGGTCGAGATTTTATTGAGTGTGAAATATATTCAGCAACTATCAAGAAAACGGTAAAAAATTTGAGGCTCAATATAACTTTAAAAGTCATTTAGGTTATTTGAAAATAAAAAAAATGGATACATAAATATATTTGAAGTGGGTGTAGGAATTGGTACCTACTTTAAAATAAAACAAGCAAGAGAACACATATCTAAAGAGTTGGTAAATATATTTATAAATTCCATTCTTCTTTTTTAAGTATGGCAATTGGCTTCTTACGATACCATTGTTGCTAGAGTCGAGAAAAGCGAAGCGGAATGAAATCAATGATTGATTTATTTGAAATTGTAATCCATCGGGTTAAAACTGAGTGAAATGGAATCAAACGAAATGAGATCCGGTCTCAGTAAAATGATGCGAATTGATTGAGACTTCAGTGGTTTTTTTTTTGGTGGAATCCGAAAAGTAAAATTCCGCTACTTTGTAAATTTCCCACACTCATGCACTCTCACAGATGCTAGATGGTTAATTAAACATTGTTACACACGCTTAACCCGAATACACACTAAATAAACAAAATAAAACGATTCACACAGCCATGTTTCTCGTGCTCCCGCCAAAAAGAACAACTATAATATTTAGAAGATTATTATGAAAGTATTTTTTTTAAAAACACAGACATTATTTTGAAAACTATTCTAAAAAAAAGTATTTTTTATTTTAAACACATAGACATTATTTTGATAACTATTCTATAAAAAAAAGTATTTTTCTTTTAAACACAGACTTTATTTTGAAAACGCATTAAAAAAAAATCCAGCCAGTATCACCCAAATTAAAACGCTCAACGCGAATTTTAAATTTCGAACAAACAGCCGCCGTACCCACAACTACAAACGAAGAAAGGCCAATGAACGCGGCGCATTTGAATTTCGAAGCGCTACCATAGAAGGCAGGTATGATCAACCCTCGGTAAGAATTAACTTTTGCAAAAATATAGAAATAGTTATAGGACGCGCGCGAGGGGCGATACTCCCCGCCTCGAAGGAGGGGGGGCGCGGGTGCAGGAAGTGGGGCTGAAGCAGCGGGGTGTTTCTGTGTCGGGCGGGGTGTCTCCTAAAAACGGTTAAGTAGCTCCCCCTTCCCTCTATAACTATTTTATGCGGTCCCTTAGAAAGACAGCGGAGATGGGGCCGCTACGATATGCTATAGGCGTACCTACTCGGGAACGAGGGAAGTGAAATTTTAATATGTCTAGTCGTTTAAGTATTCATGTTTCGGATTTATAATTAAATGCCCTAATTAGGGTGTTGCGTTGTGTTCTTGTTCGTATATGAATTATAATGTTTTTTTTTTTTCTATTTAAAGTTAAAGCGGTTACCTATTTTACGTTTTGTTTGGAAAATTATTATTTAAATTTAATTTGTAATTGAGCTGTATCTTCAAACGAATCAATATTTTTAATTCACATAATTTTTTTAGATAGATATCTTAATATTAATACGTGAAGCAAAAACTTTGTATCCATTTTTACGAAAATTGCGCGGACGGAGGAGTATGAAATTTTCTACACTTATAGAGAATATAGAGAAGAAGTGCACAATGCTAATATTTTTTTTTAAAATAATGCATAAAAGATACATTAAATCGATAAAGAAAACATTACACACACTACATACCATCTATTTGACGCACATACGCATTCATATTATTTATTGTCAAACTTTTGTTCTTGACGTCTGTTGTCAAATTAAGAATAGATTAAATATTGTTTGTCTTTGTTAATATTTTTTATAGTGTAGTCTTGGCGATATTTGTGATTATAGAAGTATAAAATACAATCATAATAGTGTACAAACTTACAATTCCAATTAATTATAGTCGAATTTCGACTACTGCGGGGCCTCTAGTAATAATTATTAAGTCAAAAGACATTGGGATTTCTATCAATATTTGACGTCAGAATGTTTAAAGCAATTTGAATTTTATGTCTCTATACATTAACTCTAGTCTCGTATGTATCCGGCTATAGCTTTCATAATTTAAATCAAGATACGTCATTATTTTACTAATAATCTTTTTTATGGTTTCATGTAGTTTGGATATGAATCTTATGTTGTTAAACTTAAGCCAGGGTTTGGCATGTAAGTGACGTTACCATAGGCTCATTGTCAATCAGGTGCCTCATTTATGTCGAATAGAAGTTCGAAACAAAAAGTTCTTATCCTGGTGATACTGGAAAGGCCTCCGGGCCACCAGTAATCCCTCATTCATAAAAAAAGTTTTCGAAGCGATGCGATTTTCTTTTTTATTGTAATACATCATAATAATAATAATAATAATAACTCTTTATTTATATAACACCTTAATATGTACACAGTAAAGTAATAAAACAAAAGTCGGTATATAAATCGGCGGCCTTATCGCTGAAAGCGATCTCTTCCAGGCAACCTTGCAGGGAGAGGAATAAGTTAACTGGACGGTGCTATATCTTAATAAACTTACATAAAAATATATACTTAAATACACATGTGAAAAATAAATACCATATAAGATAAACTTACATACGATTAAATACAAATAAATACTAAAAATATACAAGATAAAATACAAAAGAAGTAGGAACTTATACAGTTATATCATAGAAGCAAAGTAGTGCGATTTCAATCTGCAATCATAATATGCCTTGAGAGGTTGTTCGGAAAATAATTTGGTTTTTTTTTTCGAGGATAATCCCAGGCCTTTCAAGTGGTCATCAAACCGTTAAATTTGATAAATTTAACCTCAATCCGATCTCACGATCTCTTATTCGCGGGTTCGCATCAACTAATGCCTTTATCTCGTCTTTATCAGCTTCAACCGGCCTTTCCGAACGTGTATCTTTGACATCAAAATTGCCGGATCGAAATTTAGCGAACCAGTTCTGGCACTGGCGTAATGTCAACACACCTCCATACACAATTTCTTTCTGGCTTGAACAGCATTTTTACCCTTTCTGTAGTAAAACGGTTAGATATTTCGAAAATGCTACTTGTCGCTTTCTATATTTAAAAGGGCACCAACCAAAAACTACTGCGTAGAATTAATTCGTATTTTTCACACACAAGCCTTGCTATATGAGCTCTCAAAGCATATAAAAATTATACGGCTTAAATGTGAAATGGGTGCAAAAAAATACAATTAAATCCTCTGCTGGGAAAAAAAGAAATTACTTTCCGAACAACCTATTAGTATTTTAGATGTAGCAAATGTAAAATAATGTCAGTAGGCAAATGGAAAAGGATTTACATATAAACTGCTTTTCAAATATTTATGCGTGCGTTTAGAAATATAATTTGTGTAAACCAAGGAAAATATCTTCTTCTTCTTCTTCTTTGTCGTTTCTTCATTACTGAGGGTCGTGACCACCTTGTTCTAGTTTTTGCACCAGCTTCCTCCAATGCTGCCTGCATTCGGCCTGCTTAATGGCGCCCGGGACGCTGGTGTTGCTTGGTGCAGCGTCTCCTCAAGTACTTCGGACACGTGGCCCGACAAAATCCTGAGAACTTGGAAAAATTAATAGTTGTAGGTCACGTGGAAGGAAAGAGAAGTCGAGGAAGATTGCCGATCAGGTGGACGGACATTATCAAGGAGGCCACAAAGGAAAATATATCAAGCTACAATACATCTGGATTGTGGTGCCTTAATGGCAAAGTGATGTTTAGTTCAGCTAATCTGTAACGTGACATTCATTGACTATTAGGCGGTACGAAGTTCGACGGGTCAGCTAGTTATTGATTTTTTTTCCTACCTATGCTGATAGCCTTGAGAGGCTATATCAGCTTCTCCTTAACGTGTAGATGAGCTCACGGGGCTCAAACCGGGAGCGTTGCTAACACTGGCCCCAGCAAGAGCAGTGCTTCGCAGAATCTACCACCGAAGCCACCAAAAGCGAATCTCACTGGTGGTAGGACGTCTTGTGATTACGCACGGGGGAATACCATCACCCTGCCTATTTCTGCCGTGAAGCAGCAATGCGTTTCTGCTTGAAAGGGGCAGCCGTCGCACTGTTACTTGAGATCTTTGAACTCTTGTCTCAAATTGGGTGCCGGCATTTACTTTGTAGTTGTCTATGGGTTCCGGAAACCACTTAACACCAGGTGGGCCGTGAGCCGTAGTTTTGAGAAAAACAATTTCGGTGGTGCATGCACAATGTCCAATGACATGTCCATAACAATTAATCTACAGTAGATCTAGTAGATCTTGAGGCACTCTTCTTCTGAGTCTTCTAGTAGTCATTTGGTTGTCCATTAAATGCTTAGCAAGCTTATTCGGATGGGCTTCCAATCTTACACAATAGGCTTTAGCTCGATGGATTACTTCATCTTTGACTTTTCTTATGGAAATATCATAATGGATTCTTTCATTTGTAACATACTCCACCTATCTAAGCAATAAAAAAAGCGAAGTTAAACCGTAAAAGTACTTTTAAGTAGTAGTCAGTAAAATTATAAAGTAATCAATAACAAGCAAATGTATGTATCATTTCCTTTCATTCTGATAAGCAAGTAGCAATAAACCTACAGATTCATAGCTCGTCCGATCGTCAAGTGTTATGGACACATTATCATCACAGGTATACGCGACATTATTGTTGAGCAAGTATTTATGACTAATATGAAATACCTATTAAATATTATCCTGTTATATTCGATAAAGTATTTTCAGATACGTAATTAATTATAATCATCTTGGCTTTTGTATTGCGGTGGAAGACGGTTTTGTACCTATTTAATAAATATGCCACAGTTTGGAAGAGTTTAGTTATAAGTGAGGTATTCAGCCAAATTAAGATCGGTATGAGTAGTTTAATTTTATTTAAGTTTTCCAACAAAAATTCCAAAAAAATACAGATATTGTTTTAGAAATAATAAATTGTTCTTAGCACTCTATGTTGTCTGTCTCCTTGTGTTCTGTATACTCTATGAATTTTATGGAAATTCAGGATATAAAATTATGGTAACACAAAAAGGAACTAACAATAAAGTATATAACAGAAGAACATCTAATACAAAAGAGTACATATAAACATTTAAAACATGTATCAACTCAAATAACAAAATCAAGGCAAACTTAAAACACGAAAAAACGAAGAATAAGAAAAATAAATCATCTGACAACAAAATTAACTTAGCAGAATTAAAATAATCGGTCCAGTAGCTAACGAAACCACTGGATGTGGCTTCACGGATTTTTCAAAAAAATCAAATTAATTAGACAATTCCCATTAAAACTCATTGAATTCAAATTAGTTCAATAAAAAATACACAAGTTCGTTGTCTAACTAAATTTTTGTAACTATCCGTTATAACGTTGCACATTACGTTATATTTTATATTATACGTTAAATGAATTTATGTTTGTTTTCGCTAAGGAAATAAAAATATTTAAATTATTTATGTGTGTATGTAATATATATGTAGTCTAATATATTATGTATTAGTGTTTTATTTTTTTATTTTTATTATTGTTCTTGTTTAGATTGTAACTTGATTAGATTGTACTCTTCTACCCACTTATTTAAAGCTTTCCTTCGTTAAGAACGGTTAGCTGGTAGAAAACTCAACTGTTGAGTTAAGCTCGCCACTTTTTATATCTTACGCAATTACTGTAATATTAACTGTGTTTACAATAAAGAATAAAGAAGAAATTAAGATTTTGTTTAAAAGAGGAACCAGGTCATAAAAAAGGGGGCTAAATGAATGAATGCCTACTTTAAGATGAGATTCAAAGAAATTGGTTTTTATACTACTTTTTTTTCTACCTACTCGCGGGTAGCTAAAGCGACAACCGCATGACCCGCTTTTTTATGGAAATGAGTTCGACTATGGTACCTATCAATGTGGGTGATTTGGTTCACTTACCAACCTAGGCTTTGACTTCTAAAAGTTAATTAGACCTTTCAAATATAAGTCAGTGTAGCAGCTTTCTAAGTCACGCGAACTTCGAAACTAAGCCCAGACAATGTGGTATTTAACACAAAATACCAAGTTCTTAACATAATTTTAAAATTTAATGGGTGCCCGTTATTTCGGCTGTTGCAAGCGGTGACCAAAAACAACGAATCTAGAAAGAATGTAAACAGATTTTTCTGTACCTAAAATCTTAGCCGTTCATTCTACTAGTGATCGTGGTGCTTTGCAGTAATCGCAGTGGCGACGAAATATCGGAAACCCTTGCATATCTATTTATTATTATATTGTGTAATGTAATAAAAATCAAATATAATATCGTATCGTGTAATAAAAATCAAACACGCAAAATTATAATTTGCGTAATTACTGGTGGTAGGACCTCTTGTGAGTCTGCACGGGTAGGTACCACTGCCCTGCCTATTTCTGCCGTGAAGCAGTAAAGCGTTTCGGTTTGAAGGGTGGTGCAGCCGTTGTAACTATACTGAGACCTTAGAACTTATATCTCAAGGTGGGTGGCGCATTTACGTCGTAAATGTCTATGGGCTCCAGTAACCACTTATCACCACTCGTCAGCTCATCTAAGCAATAAAAAAAATGTGGATAGCCCCAAAAATTTCAAGTAATTCGTAAAGTGGTATTTTCTTAAAGATTCGTCAATAATAAAGTTCGCCCCTCGGACATCTAGCGTAGCAGGTTCTTCGTGATAACAATACGTTTATAGACGGAGCTTAAAGTAACTGGGACAAGTTTTCGTGGGAACATTTGCATAAAAACTGACGAACCTGTTGTTACATTCAATATGGGTCACCTTGTATTGAAAGTGTGAATGAAAAAAAAAGCTTAAGAAGTGTTTTATTTTATTTTATGATGAGGAGGTGTAATGCTGATCTGAGATATCACGGTTCGGTGCTGGTTTTTTGTCTATTTTAGTACCTGCTGCCTATTTAAATACTTTGACTTTGTCTCTAGGCGGGTAGGGATATTCACATCGCAATATTTATTGGCTTTAGTTACCACTTAACCGAATTCAATCCAAAAACGATCAAGCCGATAAGCTTGCCTTGAACGTGCTCGTGACTCGTTCAGTGTAAAATGGTCACTGGTTTCTATAGGTATCACAATGTAGAATAGCTACCCACTATGGAGCATAAGGTCGAAATTATCAACGGCATAGCCTAAGATGTCCCCATCTTTTAAAGGCACACATGACTATTTCGTGCCTTAATGTTAACCTAAATGATTAACCTACATTCCCATAACTTTAATGAAACACGAATTTAGACAAACGAAAGTATAATAAAACCAGTAGTACCTACACCCTACCATAATAATTCTCGAACGAATTCAAAACGTCCAAATAAAAATCACAAATTCCCACAAAAACACATGAAACTCGAAATGTAACTATATTTTCTCACATCGTATTCTCACGACCTCCGAAACATCTACGTAACGTGATTTCTATAGTGAAAGTCGTCATAAGGGTGTAATCAAAACTAGGATTGTTCGGAACTTGAATTGGCGTAAATGAAATGCCGCCCGACCCTAATGGACAACAGGTTGGTCAAGGAATGCTTATAAACCAGATAATTTTAAATCGATTCTCACACGTAGCGCGTTTCACATCGAAACTCGTTGGATAAGTAAGGGATCCGAGTCTCGACAAGAATCGGACGAGATACGAATCGCCTTGACCGGTTTCCGAAGAAATGCTCGCCGACTTAGGTATTGTTATCATTACAATTGTGGTACGATTGAGTTTGTTTGGAATGTTGGTGCGACTTCGTGCTTCAGACTAGGCCGGTTTGTCTATACTGTCTCTGTTGCCTCTGTTGTAATTTTTTTTTATTGCTTAGATGGTTGGACGAGCTCACAGCCCACCTGGTGTTAAGTGGTTACTGGAGCCCATAGACATCTACAACGTAAATGCGCCACCCACCTCGAGATATAAGTTTTAAGATCTCAGTATACAACGGCAACCCTGCCCTTCAGACCGAAACGCATTACTGCTTCGCGGCAGAAATAGGCAGGGCGGTGGTACCTAACCGCGCGGACTCACAAGAGGTCCTACCACCAGTAAAAAATTACAAACATTCATATAACATTTGTACGTTATCTTCCACTAAGTAACGGGATTAAATATGTTTTGTTCATAAATTTATCAACTACAAAATTAAGGAAGATTATTCGGCACGTACGGGTCCGCACGGGTAGGTACCACCGCCCTGCCTATTTCTGCCGTGAAGCAGTAATGCGTTTCGGTTTGAAGGGTAGGGCAGCCGTTGTAACTATACTGAGATCTTAGAACCTATATATGTCAAGGTGGGTGGCGCATTTACGTTGTAAATGTCTATGGGCTCCAGTAACCACTTAACACCAGGTGGGCTGTGAGCTCGTCCAACCATCTAAGCAATAAAAAAAAATAGTACAATACGTACTTAACAAATATTGACTATTGACTTCGACAGTGAAGGAATAACATCGTCTAATAAAAATCAAACCTGCAAAAATGTTTATATGCGTGGTACGACGTTTTGTGAGTCCGCACGGGTAGGTACCACCACCCTGCCTATTTCTGCTGTGAAGCAGTAATGCTTTTCGGTTTGAAGGCTGAGGTACCCGCTGTACTGTAAAAACTGAGACCGTAGAGATCAAGGTGGGTAGCGGCATTTACTTTGTTGATGTCCATGGGCTCCGGAAACCACTTAACACCCTAAGCATAGCCAAAGTTATTCTTAATATACCTACATTCAAAATGAAATAGTATTTGAAATCGGTCCAATTTCAGATGAATCAAGATTACGAGAGAACGTATTCACGCGATATGCCATAATGTCTCATTTATATTCACATGTCTCTTGACTATAACTATATCGAATGTTGAGATTGACCGAACGATTTATTTTTAACCGACTTCAAAAAAGGAGGAGATTCTGAATTCGGCTGTATGTTGTTTTTATGTTTGTTACCTCATAAGTTTTGACTGGGTGAATCGATTTTGATGTCTCTTTTTTAGAAAGCTGATGCTTCCCGTGTGGTCCCATTTCAATTTAGTCCTGTTCTGATAATGGTATCCATGAGAAAACTGTATAAGTCTTAAATTTTGCATTAAGTACGTGCGCGACAAATAGATGAATAACTCAATATCACGCCAACCGGTTTCGATGATTATTGTTTTTTAGTGTATATTAATTTGTTTTGGAATATCTTTTTTTTCTGTTTGAAGTCGGTTTTTGTTAAAGCATTTTGTTTTTTGTTTTTTTTTTTATCTATATATTAATACGTGAAGCAAAAACATTGTATCCCTTTTTAAGAAAATTGCGTGGACGGAGGAGGATGAATTTTTTCACACTTATAGAGAATATAAAGAAGAAGTACACAATGCTAATATTTTTTTTAAATAATGGATAAAAGATACATTAAATCAATAACGAAAACGTTACACACACTACATGCCATGTATTTGACGCACACACGCATGCATACTATTTATTGTCAAACTTTTGTTCTTGACGTCTGTTGTCAAATTAAGAATAGATTAAATATTGTTTGTCTTTGTTAATATTTTTTATAGTGTAGTCTTGGCGAAATTTGTGATTATAGAAGTATAAAATACAATCATTATAGTGTACAAACTTACAATTCCAATTAATTATAGTCGAATTTCGACTATTGCGGGACTTCTAGTTATTAAAGCAAAGCATCTACAATTATTGTATCTGTATAATATTACTATTATATTAACATTAATATAAGTATTATGTTTAACCTTGCGATTTTCTACTTCTTAAATTATTTCCAAAGTTTCGAATACACTACCTACAGGTTTCCTGGTCATGGACGACTATGGTGTTATACCTTGATATTAGAATGCTGTGCTAACTACCTACCTACCCTCTGTTTTTTCTTAAACTTGTTTGTGATGTTGTTTAAGCTGTCTGTTAAATTATGTCAAACTTTATCTAATATATAAAATTCTCGTGTCACAATGTTCGTTCCCATACTCCTCCGAAACCGCTTGACCGATTCTCATGAAATTTTTTATGCATATTCAATAGGCCTGAGAATCGGCTACTATCTATTTTTCATACCCCTAAGTGATTAGGGTTGTCCACACCTAACATTTTTTTTTTATTTGGATATTTTTTTTTGTTATAATGAGGTATTATGTGGTTGAATGAGGTTTTGTTATTTTTATTATATATTCATCCCTCATCGTTCACAGCACTACATACCTCTTTCACTCATTTACCACATCCTTACACACTTACAATAAGTAAGTTTTTTTTCTACACTAGAAATTCCCTAGAAATCTTATATATGGTAGGAGTGGGTGATATAAATCGTATATAGATTCAATATCTATATATCGCAGCAATATCGTTGAATCCGATATCGCCCCGCACGAAATCTATATATCGATATCAGCCGATACACGATATTGCTCGATGTGATGCGCATCGCCATATCGTACCGATTCGTGAATCGAAATCTATATTTCGATATCAGCCGATACACGATATTGCTCGATGTGATGCGCATCGGCATATCGTACCGATTCGTTAATATCAGCAATATTCGTTTGGTTCGTATCGAATCGGCCAGAGTGAGTGAGCGCACGATAGGGATATCATGTGATGAATGAAACAGAAACAGGCATTATCCATACAATTGTAAACCTTATATTTAAGTCCATATGTCTGTAGATTATTCTTAGCGTATCAGCAGGATACAATTAAGGAAAGAAGTTTCAACTTTCGACCCTAACTTGAATGCAGTATAGCCTATTTGCATCGTTGAATTTAATTTCACGCGCTTTGACCTTGAACTAGAATTTTTGGACAAGTGTTTATAAATACTTAAAAGTTTTTTGTGTTTGATTTTTAAAGTACACATTTTTCTATTTTTAGTTGAATCCAAATAATTGAGTTTATTTCTTGTGTTTGTATTAAACTTTTGAAATCTACACTCTTTTGGTATATTTTGTAATTTTAAATTAAGACACAAAATACTAAAAACTGAAAATAATGTAGCCAGTCCTAAGCCTGGTAAAAGCATGAAGGAAAGTTTTTTTGATATTTTTATTTTCATGTTCTTTTTATTACTTTAAGATCATATTATAAATTGATATCAGAAAACCAACCGTATAACGTTGACTTAAATCTATATCTACTACGATATTATATCAGCGTATCGTTTCAAATCTCAAATATCATGAATCGAGAAAATCTACTAGCATCCATCAATATATAGATTCAGAAAATATATAGATTCAATATCCGATATTGATCCTCGATATATAGATACGATTCGATACGCGGCAAAACCGATATTACCCACTCCTAATATATGGCAAAACGATGTTTGCCGGGTCAGCTAGTTTGTTATAAAAAAAAGAACATAATATTCCTAACCTAAAAGTACATGTTATTATCCGCTTCGTCGGATTACAGCAATAGAGTTATCAGCGACATGCTTGGTCAAAGAGTACAATACTTAATTACTTAAAAAAAAAAAACTTTCAT